GCAGGCAATGCTCTTAACCTCTGAGCCATCTCTCCAGCCCCAGTAGCTTCTTTCTTGATGTGGAGCCCTGGAGAGTGAAGAACCTACATTCAGAGCCACCCCAGCCACCTTCTGCCAAGAGACAAAGAGACAGAGAGATCATTTCCCAAGTCTACTGAACTTCTGGGGTGAAAATTTGAAGGCATGTGGCATCTACATCAGGCACTGGCAATGGGGAAGTGTCTGCTTTCTGCTCAGGATGAAAAGCCAGAGGGGTGATGACTCAAGTCCCCGCCCCACCTCAAGTCTTTAAAATGTGAGATGAGCTCAGAGACTGGGAAATGTCAAACAAACCCTAGCAGAACAGGTGCTAGAACAGGCAGCTTGAGTGACAGGCTACCAGGCAGAAGCAGCAAACTTTGAAGCAATGCTGTGGGCAGACAAAGTCAGGAGACCCAAGACTGCCTAGACATTGTCATGCTGCAAGACCCAGAGTGGGTCCACATTCCTCTATGGGTCCCTCACTCTTCACTCACTGGCTTCTGGCTGTTGGGAGGGGCAATGGTCAGGAAAGAGCTATGGATTCACAAAGTCTCCCAAGGCCCTGGAGATGAACAAGCACTCCTATTACAACTCACTACTGGACACTGCGAGGTAATTTCCATGTTACCTGGACCTCAACCACAAGGGTGAGGGAAAAGGCTGGGGACATCTTGTTCTCATAAAGAAAAATCTGATCCAGCTATTATGAGCGAAAAGCTCACACTTAATGTCTACTGTGTGCAGGTTCTTACTTATATATGTAAAATTTCTCTTAATTCTCATTACAATTCTATGATATAAATGATTTTTCAGAGTCAGATGAGAAAATAAAGGTCAAAGAAAGTAACTTGCCCAAGACAGCACAAGCATTAAATGAGACTGATTAGAACTCACTCTGCAACACCTGTGTAAGGGCTGATTGTGTCTGGTATGCTGACTCAGCTCAAATACAACCTCTTCCTGGAAGCCTTTCCAACCCACACAGGACCTCTCCCATCAAAACCCACAGTTGACATTAGTACCCAGCTGGCATCACTTAGCATATTCTCCTTCCTTACTGTGATGGGCATACTTTTAAATAGTAAGGTAGGCACAAGGATGCACAGGTGGTTTGAGAACCTCAAATGTCACATGCAAAGACCCAAGAGGTTGATCCATCCAACCCCCCATTCTTTAGAGGGACGAGCAGAGAACCACCAGGAGACCAACTGTCACGTGGCAGTCTGGCACCAGAACTGGGAATAGAACCTTGGCATTCTACCTCGCAACCCCTCTTTAAAGATTCTATCATTTTAGAATCAGTCTTAAGACAAGACTCGTTATTCCAATTTAATTAGGAAGCTGACACTCAAGGGAGAGTCACCACCTGAGATATGAGGGCTGGAATTTTACTTTTTCACTTTTGGGCCAGGTATCAAGCCCTCTTATCTCCCAAATGCAAGCAACCCATGGATTGTGCGTAGCACAGGGCATACAGAAAAAGAACCATGGGTGTTAGAAAAATGTTAGACACCAGGGGCAGGTGACACCAGCAAGGCGGACAGGACACAGGGTTCAAGCCTCCATGGGTTCTCCTGACTCTTCCTGACCTCATCTGTAAGACACAGGGACTACAATAGTTGGTCTCACTCCCTGTTCCAAGGTTCCTGAACATCCTAGAACCTTTGACAGCGGACACCAGGTCTCAGCAGAACCTTTCAACTAGGATCTTTGTCCACCATGGAGAAAAGCAGCTGTGGCTCACAACCACATACTGGCTGATGCTACTTCCAGGTGTCCTTATCCAAGCAGGGTTCAACTTTAAACAACAGATGGCTCACAGAAAATCCAAGTGTTCCCCAGTACAGGCACCTCTCTGGGCACACCCACTTTACAGACTGACGAAGAGCCAAACGGCACTGGGGATTCTGGAAAAGTGGGCACATTTCTTAACCCGGTGGGAGTGGACTTGAGTCGGGGTCTCTCTCTGCTCTACAGGTAATAGCTGTGTACTCTCAGGAAAGTTTCTCTCCCTGGGGCTGTTTAAAGGAAGGCAGCTTGACCATTTATAAAGCATGTCTACAGATGCTTCATTTGATCTTCATGACAACTATTGGACCCCCCCTCCCCATTATCCCTTTTACACACGGGACAACTGAGACTTAGAGATACAAGAGTCTCATTCAAAATCAAACCCATTGAAGCTGGCATAACCAGGAATTCAGCGTTGAAGACATCCAAAAACAATAATCAAGGGTGGTCCTAGTAAGGTCAATTCTTCTCCAGTTCATCCTGGTCCTAGCAAGACCAAGTTTCACAGACCTCTGTACACCTGCCCACTCAGGGTAGCCTAAAAAGTTATGACCACAACCCTAAAAGCCCAGCTGCCTAAAAGGCCACGCCCCCTCCCTGCAAAATTTCACTACTCAAGTTGGCAAGAACGCAGCCCCCACCCCCAGCTGGGTCTAAATAAACGCCCAAGTGATATCACATCCTGCGGTAGGCTCCAAAATAGCCCAGGCCTGCCCACAAGCAATCACAAAGTGCCAGGCCATGCAGGGCCAAGCCAGCAGGGATACCCAGCCCAGGGCGCCCTCCACACACTCAAGCAACTAAAGCAGAAGCCTCGGAGCAGGAAGGCCCCTTCCCCTCCTCGCCAGACAGTCTGGCCCCACCATCCCTGTCCCCCTCTCCCACGGTCTAGAGGCCCCACAGCCTCATTGCCCCAGCGCCAGCCCCTGCCCCAGCGCCAACCCCATGGAGCCTCGGCCGCGGCCAGCCTGCGGGATGACTCCGCCCGGCCCGACCCGGACACCCCACCACTCACATTGCTTCAAGAGCTCCAGACACAAAGCCATGAGGGCCGGATGGGGGTCAGAGACCCAGAGACCCGGCAGAGACAGAAAAGGGAGAGGGAGAGACAAGGAGCAGAGAGGAGTGACAGAGGGTCGGGGCAGAGAAGCAAGGGAGCAAGATCCCCCGGCAGAGGTGCAGGCTCAGACGCCAGACAGAGCAGTGAGACCACCGACACAGATGCACAGAAGACAGGCAGGGAGAGCAAGGCGGGGGACCGGGTCCAGAGAAGTGGGACGCTCGGAGAACAAGGAAAGGCAGTGACAGCCACAGCGGACAAATTTGGTAAGGCAGAGGGGCTCGGAAGTTAGGGAGCTGGGTAGATATTGGAGGTTCAAGGAAACCGCTAAGGGATGTAGAAGGTTCTGGCAGAGATATTGGAGGCCCCGGAGAAGAGGGAAACCCCTGGGGAAATATGGAGTAGGTGGAGGCAACCCTCAAGAATCAGGAGCAGAGGGATCAAGGAGGACCCCCGGCGGATGTGTGGTAAGCTCAGGAGGCCTGGGGGAGTGGAGCGTGTTTTGAAGGAGAGGCCCCCAAAAGATCTAACGGGGTGTCCCGAAGAATGGGGGTACCAGAACCCGTGGCTGTAAAGAGAGGAGGGGAGCGCTGGGAAAGGGGACCCGAGATCCCGGAGCGAGGGAGGGGCCGAGAGCGCGAGGGCAGAGACAAAGAGACAGCAAGCTAGGGAGAGACAAAGCGGGCGCAACGGGG